TAACATAAAATCTGTACTATGTAAATCTATTAAGGGTCCACATATAGGTTTGATTTTATTAGTTGACCGACCACCCCAACGACCCCCTTGTATAGAATTGTATAGAAAGGGCTTGGAAATCAAAAGATTTTGAGAGGATAAATTTCGGTGCAGAAATCGTGGAAGACTTGTATAAAGTTGTATGTAAATAATATATACAACGCTCTATTTCATGTTAAAGAATTTCTTTTACAAACTATACATACTATCTTAATTTCTACTATACATTATAAATTATGCATTACATATTTTTTATTACTTCACGACGAGCACTGCTCTATAACGTAACCTTCGCTAACGTTACACTGTATCGTGATGAATAATCTGCAACATAAATATTACATTCTCATCAGTAAAATACAATTTTTAAAAAGTAATGCTGCATTAACCTCATGAATTGCTAAAAGGACATGCGCAGAAATCACCTCCGATTAATGAGTTGTTGCATAGCAAATCCATGCTTAGAGTATATATTTTTTGGTTTGACATCACGCGACGTGACAAATGTCTGACAATGATTGTTAATGTGATTACTAATTTTTAAATATTAATTGTCACGTCGGGATTATGGTTTTCGAGATTTGGATGTCAGGATTTTGCGGTAGAACCATATATTTTTATATGCTCTAAGCATAAAATAAAATTAGTTTGATCCTTAGAACCATTTACAGCTGTTCTCATAAGTTCTGGGATAAGTAAAAACCATTTGCTCGTTACCCGAAATCTTTTCGGTTTCGTCAAGGGCAGCGATGTAACTTCCGGAGTTAGGAAACCGATTTTCCCCAAAATTTTAATTCTTCGGAAAAAAACGATATAGTTTTTGAAGAATTGGATAATTTATAATTGATGAAAACAGCTATAAATTCTAACTTATTAAAAAATTCTGTGACTTATTAAAAGTTTGTTTCCAAAATCTCTTTGGTCTTGTCCTAAGAACCACCTAGTGCTTTGGAAATTACGTCGTTGTTTCCGAACTAAAGTTCTGGAGATAACGGTGTAGTTTCTGAAAAGTTAAAACGAACTGGAGAGATATAGTAGCAAAGTTTAATTTGTTTCAGGATTTGAGAACAGATATAATAGATTGTTTATCACGCCAGTTGCCATAAACTACTATACAAGCACCACATAATCAAAGAGATACAATAATCCAAAAGAATTTTTTAGCGGAATATTTGCTACGAATAAGGATTATTTCGGACTTTCCCGACAACTTGGGGAAATTGGGTACCAAATACGGATGCAAATTCCGATTCGGAGCAAAATTAATGGCGCATAAATCGGATATATAAATAATATTTTCTGACTGATTTTCATCCACTATTCATTAAATCATGTCTGCCCCCTTCAACAATTTACCACCTAATTTTATCATTTCTGAAGATAAAACATACGCAACATTATCAACACCACTCGAAAAATCTGAGAATGATGATCGGAAATACCGGTTAATTGTATTGCCTAACAATTTAGAAGCTTTGCTAATTTCTGACAGTGAAACTGATAAAAGTAGTGCCGCAATAGGTGTTCATGTTGGCCAGATTAATGATCCGGTAAGTTTTTTTTTTTTTTATCAAACTGTAAATTTTATGATTTCAATTCTTAACTTGTACGGTGAATTGTAGTCGAATCTTCAAGGTCTTGCCCATTTTTGTGAACATTTGTTGTTTATGGTGAGATTTTTCTTAATCATTTACGGTTTGCATTGATTATGTTTAAATCATGTTGTAATAAATAACTTATATGATTTTTAGGGAACTGAAAAGGTATTTATTTATCATGAAAATTTACTTCCGATTAGCTTTATAATGGTATCCTGAGCAACGGACATCGGTGAAAACTTCGTTTCCATTAGTACACATATGTGATCTTGATACAATTATCAAGATCATTATTCATTAATTTAACTCTTTGTCAAATAAAACATCTGTTCCATTTTATCTATTTATTTATTTTAGTATCCCAAAGAAAATGAATATAGCGAGGTAATTCATAATAAATTTCCTCCACAATTTGTAGATTTTATATGTTTAACACATACATTAATAAAAACCAATTGGACTATTTCAAAATTTCAAATATAGTATCTAACAAAACATAATGGATCAAGCAATGCATACACTAGCATTGATAATACGAACTATTATTTCGATGTTGGGCATGAACATTTGGAAGGGGCTTTAGATTTGTAATAACTCGGAGCTTGTCAATATAGAAGGAGAAATTTCTTCTAAGTAAAAGTTTTTTAAACTTTAAATTAGGATATCTTAACAACTATTAATAATTTTTTTTATTTTATTCTATATAGTTATAAAATTAAAATAATTAAATTTGATTTAGTAGTTATTGAGATATTTTAATTTAAATTTTAAAAACAAGTTACTAAAAATTTTTTGCCCCTTTTCTATTGACAAGCTCTCATAAATAGTAATATTTATACAATTTGACACTTATCATCGTTTATTTAACTTAGATTTGCACAGTTTTTTATTTGTCCTCTATTCAATGATGATTGTACGGATAGAGAATTAAACGCTGTTGACTCTGGTAAATGATATCAAACTGATACTTTATTTTCGCACATATAGTTTTGCAAAAAAAAATTTTTAAATTCTACTTTAGATATTATTAATATTAAAATTTCCTAAATAGAATATAAACTTAATCTTCAAGAAGACAGTTGGAGACAATATCAACTTGAAAAATCTTTATCGAATTCAAAAAATCCATATTCACAGTTTGGGATAGGAAACCTTGAAAGTTTAAAAGATGTTCCTTCAAAAGCTGGATTGAATGTTAGAACAGAATTATTAAAGTTCCATGATAGCTATTATTCCGCTAATTTGATGAAATTAGCTGTTTTAGGGAGAGGTAAATTTACTATAGCAAGATGTAATACCGTATTTCGCTCATTAGTGTTATTTAAAATCATGCAACTTAAAGATAGCATACATAGAGTTCCAATCCAGTAACCGTTTATCCATATATCCGTAATCCGTTATCCAGGTATCCGATCTGAATTTATCCGGATATCCGTTTACTATTGATATCTGAATAATTTATTCGAATATTTGTCGGATTATCCGGATATCAATAGTAAACGGATATCCGGATAAATTCAGATATGGATAAATGGATAACGGATTTATCCGGATTGGAACTCTAAACATGCTTGACTTCTAAATGACGCCTATACGAGTCACAAATGTTAGGACAAATGTAATGAATCATTCACGTAGATATTTTCTTATATCGGACGATCAGCCTTTATCGCAAATAACGCACATGAGCGCGTACTCAAAATAACGCACACAACGCATTATTATGAAAAATACGGTAGACGCTTTAAGCAACATTGTATTAATGTGTTTTTATGGTGTAGAACCCTTGGATCAATTGAATCAGTGGGTTGTAGAAAAATTCTCGAAAGTTAAAAATAAGGCAATTCCTATACCAGTTCCTAAAGAACATTATCCTCTTACTGAGAAAGAATTAAGGGTAAATTGATTTATTATTATAGTATTTTGGCAGAGTGCATTTTGAAACAGTGTTGGCCTATGGCCTGTTATGATCTATTGGTTGATTATAGTTATCATTCTTATGACCTGCTATGGTTTATAAAATTTACTATTACATTATGACCACTTTTGTCATAAATTTGGATGTGGCATAACATGGTCAACACTGATTTGGAATGCTTGACCAGCTGTTATGTTGCAAATATTTATGGTTACTATCTACTTTGTGATAAGAACCTCCATCTATATATTTAATATAAAAGCTGTTAGCACTAACTTAACCCATTTGTGAAATAGAGTCAAATTTCAATGAAACCTGTTAAAGACAATCATTGTTTAGAACTAACTTTTCCATTTCCTGACCAAGAACCTCTTTATAGTTCACAAGTACGTTTTTATATTTAAATGTTTTAGATTTTTTTCAAAATAATATATTTAAAATGTTTACTTTGTAGCCTGGAAGATATCTTGGTCACTTGATTGGACATGAAGGTGTCGGGTCAATATTATCATTGTTAAAAAAGAAGGGTATGTAAATATCAAAAAGTTTTTCCGGTTTCTATATTAATTTATATATTAAAAACTCAGGGTGGGCAAATAAGTTGAGTGCTTACAACAGTCATCAGTATGTTGGATTTGAGGTATTTAAAATATCGATTGAACTTACCGAAGAAGGGCTAGGTAAATTATGTTTAAATACTTTTGTTATGTAACTTAGTATGATTTTACTTATACATGACTTGTTTATTATAGCTCATTATGAGGAAACTGTGGAAATTTGTTTTCAGTATATCGAAATGTTAAAGCAAGCCGGTGTGCAAGAGCAAATTTTCCGCGAGGCAAGGAAACAATTAGATATTTCTTCGCTTTAAAAATGTTAAAAATCCTCATATAAATATGCCTTAAACAAAAATAATCTAGGTTCAATCAATTGCATCGATAGACTTTAGATTTCAAGAAAAATATTCACCATCCTACTATACGTCAAAACTTGCCGTACAAATGCAACGTCCATATCCACGTGAACTTATTTTGAGTGGTTCTCATTTGATTCGTGAATATAATCCAGAACTCATCCTTGAAGGATTAAATTGTTTATGCTGGGATAAATGTATTATTACTTTATCTAGTAAACTGTTAAAAGGACTTGATAAAAAAGAAAAATGGTTTGGTACCGAATATAAGCTTGAAAAGATTAGTGAAGAACTTTTAAAGGTACTCATTACTGCATTCAAATATATAAAAAATATAAATATTTGGTATAAATATTGGTTGTTATGTTGGAATTCTTATTATAAATTTCTGGTAAATTTTTGTAGACAATTCAAAATCCAAAACTTCATCCGGATCTTAAGATCCATCCGCCGAATATTTTTGTTCCTTCAAATTTTGAAGTCGACAAACTCATAGATGTAGTAATGTCTATTTATGTGATATGATTTATCGACATATTA